TCTTTCAAAAATGGGGGCAAAATATTTTCAGAAAAATAAAAAAATGAGAGTTTTCTATCAACCTATACCAAAAGAACATTTAAAGGGGTTACTTAGAGAAAAGAGAAAATGACCCCCAAAATGTCAGAAATGCAAAATAGACCAATGAATAAAGAATATAGTGAACATGGGCAAATCTAAACTATCATTGACTACAAGAATATTATAATAATAATGTATAATTTGTAAAACTAAACAAAGATAGTAATTCATAATTTTTAAGACTAAAAGATAGGCTGAGATGAAAATATTGGACAATTATAGGTATATAAATTGAACAGGGTAATCAGAATTAAAGTATTGTAGGGCATTGTATGTACAAAAGAATTCTGATTAACTTTAGACTTTTAAGTTTAATATTCATGTTCCAATCTTAAGGAAATCACTAAAAGAATAGCAAGAGAAGACATAATTTTCAAACAAGTTGGAGGTAAAAAGTAAAATGCAAAAGCAATTAATCAAATAATCAAACATAATGAAATCAAAAGAATACAATAAAAAGGGGGAAAAAGAGAAGTGATAAAAAAGGAGAACAAAAAGAAATTTAAAAAATAAGATGGTAGAAATACATCAAACTATACTATAATTAGAATAAATGTAAATTATATGAAGCAATGAGAACACTTGCATAAGACTAGTAGAAATGACTCTTGAGAAAACTGCTTTAGAAAACAATGAACTAATCCAACAATTAGTTTTTCAGCATATACTATGAGCCAAGCCTTTTATTTGGAGCTGTAAACACAGAAGCAAAAATTTTAGCAATACCTCAGGTAAACTGAAAATAAACTCTTTGATCTCACAATATTTAAAATAAGTTAAAATTTTTAAAAAGTACAGAAATGAGAAACTCAAAATGTCTGCTTTTGGGAAGAGGTACACATTAGCAACGTCAAAGGTTCTGATTCTTAAGTTGGGTGGTAAGTAAATGTGTGTTTATTATTCTTTAAATTGTATGTGTATAATATATACATTCTTGTATATGTTTAAAATTCATCATTTAGACATTAGAAAAACTTCAGGACATTTATTCTTGTATATGTTTAATATTTTCATGTAAAGAAATAAAAAATAAAAATAATTTTATAAAAAGAGCAAATAAACTCTATCATAGATGGTAATTTTTACATTATGTAATAATAAAGTTACACAATGCAATTAACTACAGTGTACATTAATCTAGAGCTAAGCTTAGTAATACATGTTTGTTGAAAGTAAAATTTACTTTAGATGAATACCACATGATGTTAGGTAAGCTCTTAAGTTTTAGAAGTAACACTTTTCATCAAAAAGTAGGCTTCATATGTAAGCAGAGTATATATAAGGGAAAAAAGTAAAATAAAATGTTGGTTCCAATAATTTATTAAATGACTAAGGTCATCTTTTAAACTGAAACAAAAATAAGTTGTTAATTAGACAAATAAATGTCCTGAAGTTTTTCTAATGTCTAAATGATGAATTTTAAAAATTACTTTATTACAATATTAGTCACACATCTTTTAACCTAATACAAAGAACATTTCATTAACTATAATGAGACATTGAGTATGCCATTGCTCACTAAAGTTTTCTTGAAATGTTACAGAAATGGCAAGAGGTAAAAGCAAATATCAGTGAAATGGTATCTGTATCCCAAAGCATCTTCCATAGGTATAAATATACAGATAATGCAGAGGTATGAGATTTCAATTTCAAGCCAAGCAAGAAATTATATCCCAATTTGCTAAGTTTATAATACATATTTTAAGTTTAATATTAAGCTCAAACAAGACATATACCAGTCATAGAAATACTTTGAAGAAACATATCACTACAAATAACTATGCTGGAATAACATCAAAATATCTGTATATTAAATCATTCTCAGAGTATTCATAGAAAAGAGGCAAATGTAAATCCATTTTACAGACAAGGAATTAATAAATAGTTCAGTGTTATGGATCACTTTCTAGTATATCCTTGTTACAAATTTCTCTACTTAACCCAATAAAATATAAAAGACTTCATGACAATGCCACATATATACATACGTCTGAACATAAACATGTTTGCATGTGTATATAAACATGACACTGTCTTGAGAGGTAATTACCTTAATCAAATTCTAACCTCTCTGCCTTCCTTAAAAATTGTACTGAGTAGGCTAATTACTGAATAAATTCATAATTAGTAGACATCCTTTCCTTGTGAAATTTCATTAGAACACCAATTTTCAAGCTGCCACATGTAATGTGTATAGAAGATAAAAAAATATGTATTATTTTAAATACCTGATCACATTGGCTTTACTTATTACTGAATAGGAATATGTTAAAATGTAATGGACAATAAAGTTGAATCCGTCTACAAAATAGCAACCAAAAGAGAACAACCTATTTCAAACTGAAGTGTTACTGATATTATGACATTAATATGTAACTATGCAAAATAAGAAGAGTAGCTTAAGAAACAACTTGGGTGGATAGATGCTAACGTAGATTTTAGGAAAAAAGTTATTTAGAGAAATATAGTTTCAAACTCTGAAACCAAAGAATGCTCTACTAAATAAAATTAACAAGTCTATCTTGATTAAAAGCAGAAAGGTTGAATTTATATCAAATGTTAGTTTCTTTGATGTAAATCTGCCATTTTAATTTTCTAAAAAAATAATTTGTTTAGGCTTAAAGGGGAACCAAAAACCGGAATTCTGATTTAATGGCCAAGCAATTCGTATTTCTCAGAATCAATACACATTTAGATTTTCGTACCTCTAAGAATATTAATCAGATTAAAAATAATATCATGTGCTAGAAAAATTTAAACCAAGTAAAATAACAAAGTCTTCCAGGTAAAGCAGTTAGCTGGATAAATTTCTCCTTATCCAGAGAACTGGTATTAAATCTTGGAAGTTCAGAAATGTATATTAAATCAACATCATTGAATAATTATTCATTTTTAGATATGTAATAGTCATGCTTTTAAAACTCAAACACTCTATTTTTGAAAATGTTACTATTAACTGATTGCAGACAACACATTAGCCAGAAATTACATTTTAGCCACAAACAAACAGAAGCGCACATTACAAAAGATACTCAGGATTTTGAAACTATAAGGGAGACATCTCAAGTATCTAATTAATTGGAAAACTTTATTGAGCACAAACCAGCTATTTAAAAACATTAGTAGGTACTAAAGGGTCTGTGTCTGTGGTGAAAACACTTATAATTTCACTGATAAAACAAGATATAGAAAAGATTACAGGGCACCAAAATGTGAAGGTAAGTGCTACTAATGTGCAAAAGAAGGCAATATTGGTCCGAACTATAATAGCAAAGTCTCAGTGAAGGAGATGGAATTGAATGACAAAGTCCAGGACATGCTGCCTCAAAGTATGGCACTTTAGTGTATGAGAAACAGCAGAAGAGGCCAGTAATCCCAGCACTTTGGGAGGCCAAGGCAGGCAGATCACGAGGTAAGGAGTTCAAGATCAGCCTGACCAACGTGGTGAAACCCCATCTCTACCAAAAATATAAAAATTAGTCCGGCATGGTGGCGTGTGTCTGTAATCCCTGCTACTCAGAAGGCTGAGGTAAGAGAATGGCTTGAATCTGGGAGGCAGAGATCGCAGTGAGCCGAGATTGCACCATTGCACTCCATCCTGGGCAACAGATGGTGACTCAGTCTCAAAAAAAAAAAAATAAAAGAAGCAGGAAGGTCATTCTTACCTTACGTCACCTTTTCTCCCCTGAAGTGGGCCATAAAACCCAGCTGATCCTCCCCTAAAAGTAAACTAAAAGACCCTCATTCCAGAGAGGTCTTCCCCATATCCCAAGGAAAGGAAGTATCCTCAACTCTGAAGACACAGAGATGTTAAGAATCTGAACAAACAGGCCTTGGTATGCTCCCCACAGTTTATTACCATTAGATTATATCCTTTTGTGTTCCAATTATACTTCTGTATGACTGCCTATAAAAATGCAGTTTTCCCAGTTTCTTTGGGTTTTCATTTCTGAAGGCTCTCATGTCATGCAAAACATACATTAAATAAATCTGCATGCTACTTTCTTGTTAATCTTTCTTCTGTTATAGGTGTCTTAGCCATGAATCTACCAATGAGTGAGAAATCTTTTCTACCCTCTGTAAGTTAGAATTTAGATAAGATTCAAACTGGCAATGAGAAAGGACTATCATAGGACCAAGCAAAGATACGGATACGGGAGTAAACAGATTCTGTGCTTTATTTTAGCTACGCACATTTATACTCTTCCTAAAATGTAACAACGCTTTATCCTCAAAAACTTGACAGGAAGGTAGAGGTTGTGGACATTTTAGCAGTATATTCATTTCACATAAAAAAAAATGTGGCACTTTTTTCCTTTCAGATCCCTGGTTATCTGGTAAGAAATACTTTCGAGTGCACTTCTGCCTTTAATTTTTGTTTTTTAAATCATCTTAAGTGTCTTTTACATGAGAGTCTCAATGTTCCACTCTCCCCAGGACTACTTTTAGTGCTTTAGTATATTGCTACCATCTCTCTATATTTAGTAGACATCGGACTATTTTGTTCTTTAAAATTTTGTTTCCCTCTACCTTAAAAAATTTAAATAATGGACTATTATTGATTCACTTATTGCCATTTTCTATGAAGCCTCATATACTTTGCCATAATTTGTTACATATTTCTACTGATTCTAGATTATAAAAATCTTATTTGTCTTATTCTCAGAGGAGAGAACTGTTTGATCCAAATGTCAATTTAGTTATAAAAGATTTTATTTCTATTTTGTACTAGTGAACCACCATGAACTACCAAATTCAAATGTGAATTAAATAATTTAAATCTGAACTGCCATTTGTTTAATTGTAAATAAGTAACTTCAAGAAACTAATGACTCTAGTACTTTATCCTCTTAAAGAAGGAGAGTACATCTTTCCTGTTTTTGTCTTATGGAAGAAAAATAAAAATTTAGAGGATTTACCATTTCCAGTTTCTCTGCCTTAAGGCGAACAGAGGGATTTATGGAGAGCCTTTCTTGTAGTCCATAATTTTCAGTCCAGGCAGAAGCAACATCTAAGAGACAACAGGGTGCACATTAATTGGGAACTTAATTGGAATCGAAATTTTCATTTGACAGGATATGTTCTGGGTTCCTGCTGTTCAAAAATAATTCTAGCTAATTGGTTGGCAGCTTTTAGTTTTGTTGTAATAATAATTTTTTTTTTTTTTTTGAGACAGAGTCTCACTCTGTCACCCAGGCTGGAGTGTAGGGGCATGATCTGGGCTTACTGTCTGCCTCCCGGGTTCAAGCAATTCTCCTGCCTCAGCCTCTCAGGTGGCTGGGATGACAGGCCCATGCTACCATGCCCGGTTAATTTTTGTATTTTCAGTAGAGACAGGGTTTCACTGTGTTGGCCAGGCTGGTCTCAAACTCCTGACCTCAGGTGATCCACCCACCTTGGCTTCCCAAAGTGCCAGGATTACAGAAGTAAGCCACTGCGCCCAGCCAGTTTTCATAATTTTTTAAGTCCAAATTTTTTTAGATAAACTGGCTTCACTTAAGTCCTAAGATATAAGAGTTGCCAATTACACATTGTGAAGTCCCACAGAAATATTAACTTCAAAGACAAACATCCATCCTACCACTACTACATCACCACAATGTCTTAAAAAGACAAAAAGTATTTTTGTTCAAAAAAAGTAAAATCATAGTAGATATTTTAAAAGATCATGGTATTTTTTTGAGTGGTAAAAGTGTTTTGTGATGTGAATTCTGGAAGTACTCTGGAAAAACCCAAAAATGCAAGTCATTTCAAGTTTGCCCATGAAGTATAATATAGATTCTGTACTTGGAGCTAACATCTTACCTCTTAAAGACAGGTCACATTTCAAGTAGCATAAATGAATTTGCAAGAGCTAAAAGTCATACACTTCTTACCCATTTTTCCTACATCTTCTCAATATATCCTCATTATTTAAATGAGCCTTTGTCCTTATTGCATGATTTAAAAAGATGCTACAAAAGACCAGAACTTGAAATATTGTATCAAAGTTTGTAAAACAAATTCCTGTAATTCATGTTGATCTTACTATCCAAATTGCCACTATTCTAAATACATTTTAAATGATATTTTACTAGTTCTACATAGAAACAAGAGGAAGAAGAAAAATCTCTCGAAAATGTCACATCTTTATGCAGTGTTTTAATTTTTTAAAATTTCTCAGAGCATCTGTCTCTAAGTACAAAATGATTTGCATTCTCTTAAGAACATAAGAAGTGCATATGAAAATAAATAGTCTTCCTCTAAACCTTTAACACATCCTTAACATTCTATGTAAAATCTTTAATATAGCTTATAGGTGTCAAAATCATAAAAAAATGGTTGCTGACTTTTAGCTTCAAATGGAATTAAACTTTGAAAAAGACTAATTTTAGTATTAAATAGGATTTTTACAATTCTGTAATTTAAAAATTACAATTTTTAAAAGTAAATAAATCTCCTTTGTAATCATGATACCTAATTGTTGGCTATGAGATTAAAAATAATATATACATGGTATATATATATATATATATACACACAAACATACACATATACATATATATACATATATGGGTATGTGTATAAATTCCACATATATATGTAATTCTATACATGCATATATGTGTATATATGTATATGTGGGTATTTGTGTATATATGTGTGTGTGTGTATGTATGGGTATATATGTGTGTGTGTATATGTGTATATATATATATATACTTCTACATATACACACACATATAATTTTTGCTTCTCTCCTAAGAAAAATTTTGTGGCAAACTAAAGTGTAGTATAAAGATCAGCATGGAGTAGAATGATATGGAAGACCAACCAGCAGATAACTATTTTTCATCCATTAAGGTTTGGACATGTGAAGCTTGCCAATGACTTCCAGCTTGGTGCTTGGCCTGCAATTAAGGCACATTAACACCAGGTGGCCCCAGGTGAACCTGGTTATGATCTCAAAGACTAAACCTGGGCTTGAATTATTCAAGTGGTAAGTGTTTTAGAAGGGTTGCAGTGGGGAGAACAAGTTGGGGAGAGGGGAATGAGAGAAGGTAAGACAGGAACACTTACAGTATTGACACACCGAGGAATGTGTTTTCACATTTTCCTACATCTAAGCGTTAAAATTTGCTATATCTAACACTGAAAATAACAGAAGCTTCTATTTATGCTTACTTTTATGTAAACAGTAAACTGTGTATCTATATAAGCTTATTAATCTTCACGATGACCACAATGACATAGGGGTTATTACTCCCATACCAAAATAAAAGACCAACGCCAGAAAAGGTAAAGAAATTAGCCCAGGCCATATAGCTAGTACATGATAATGTTAGGAGTCTAATCTCTTGTGACACCAGACCAATGTTCTTAAACGTGTTCAACATCTTTCATAATCAGTTTGTCCATCTGTAAATTAGGGGGAATAAACCAGACTGCCTTACAGGAGTTAAAAGGTCAACAATATAATAGAAAACTACTGTGAAAACTTATAAAGTATTGTTAACGTTAACACAGAGATACTCTATTATAAGGAGAGTTAATGTAAAACTATACTAACCTTCATTTAACAATATGCAGTCAGGGCTTAACAAAATCTTGTTTTTTCCAGACAACTTACACCTTTACTTTTGAGTTAAAATCTTAAGAGGGTCTGTGTATAACTCCAGCACACTTAGTCAATTCAGAGTAGCTTTACCTGAAAGCCCCTTCATAGACAGTTTTCCTCATCTGCAAATGATATCTCTCTATCCCAGCCCTAAGATCTTTGTTTCTCTCTGGGAAAGTTAGTTTTTCCAAGTATGGCCTATTATTCTCGTGGCTCTCCCTCCTTCTTGCCTCCTCCTCCTTGCCCTCCCCATCCCCCTCCTCCCCCTTCCACTTCTTTCAAGATTTGGATAATGCCTGACTTTTGCCAAGAAATTTTTCTTAATTAATTTTTACATATTTTGACAGATTCCTTATTATATACTAGTTTTTGGGATCAAGGGGAGGACATAAAACTGAATCATGAATTCAAGCTTTTCCTTTTGCTCTATAAACATGACCTAGAATATTATCTGAGCTATACTCTAGGCTATAGGTTCTATATTATTAGTAACAGAAAAATTTAGTAAGCATATATATGCACTAATTACAAAGTAAGTGCTTGACATGCATGATCTTGTTTAATCCTCATAACGACTCCATGTAACTTGTAACTAATTCAAGGTAACAGAGCTAATAAGATAAAAGCAAGAACTTGAACTTCAGAGCCTGGTGGTAACGACCACTGTGTCTTCCTTATACCATACTCATTCATATCACTCACTACTTCTTTCCTTAGGTCTATTTGTTCCTGTCTTTACATAATTTGTGTAAATGTGTTATTCATTCACAAGAAAGAATGCTTTTTAGAGTAACAAAACCACCCAGATCCTGCTCCAATTAACACAGAAAACTACAAATAGTAGCTACTTGATAAAATAAACACACATACACAGCTATAAACAAATACATGCATATATATTTGGATGCTTTCTAATTTGAATAACTGGAATTTTTAACCCCATGTTTTATTTCACAATATACTATTTAAGTGTCTCACAGAAAAATCCTAATTCCCTCATAATTCCCGTTGTACTGTATTCTTCACATATAACATAGTAAATCCTTACTGAATAAATGGTTAAAAGAGGCATTGAGTAGTTCAATTACTTTAAAAATTAAAAAAGTTATAAAGTATTAATATTTTATAATATAATCAAGGAATAAAGGATTCTGACTTCTATCATCTAGCAACTTCGATCTTCATCTAATGACTGTTGGTTTCATTTGTCTATCTTTTTCTTCCCATATGGGTTCCCAGTTTAAAATAAAAACAGTATATCAAGAGACTGGAAATTAATTATGTAAGAGGAATAATGCTAATAAAGTTTCCAAGGGTCAATAAATTTCACTAAGTAAAAGGGAATATAACTCATGGCTGAAGAATATTAACCTAGTGATAAATACCACCCCAAATTGGAGTAAACTACTATGGAATATAGTATAAACTCCTGTAAAGATTGTTAGCTATTTAATTTAAATTAATGCTTCCTTATTTTTGAGTTCTTATATCAATACTGCTATTAAAACAAAATTAAAATATACAGGTAAAAATTTGCATTATAATTAGGCATATGTAATTAGTTTTTCGGTTATCTTTAATCTTTTTTTCATTGTTGTGTTCCACGTTCAGAGATAATTTCGGGAGACTTTTTCCTGATATTGAACCTGCAAGCCTAATAAAAATCCTTATTTTACGTTTGGCTTAGATAATCAATGCTTTATTGTTTTAAAAAGTCAGTACATCGTTTTATGGTAAATAAGAATCCATAATAATGAATTCACAATACTGACATTCTTTCTAATTTACGTCCATATGATTTCTTCCAAAAAAAACGATACATTTCTTAAGGTATGCTCCCTTCTTTAATGTGTTTTCTGAAAGGTGTATTTAATATGCCTCATCAGTACTGCACTCAAAGGCAACCTAATCTTGATCTTAGAGAAGACTTCTCATTATTTCACTTAAACAATTCATTAATTATTATAGTTTCATAAACGCTATTATGACAATGCATCTTTTGAAATTTCAACTCTATGTTCAGGGAAATTTCCAGTAAAAGTCATACTTTCACAGGGACCAATGAAAAATATATTATTTTTGCTTTTTCATTCATTGAAGGAACAAAGACATAATGCAACCTTCTTCAAAGTCTTATTAAGTCACATTACATATTCCTCATTGAGAGAGAATTGAAAAAAATAACAGGAAAGAGAAATTAAATGTGTATTTACCTGTATTAGACAAACCCACAGTACTGTTTTCTGAAGAAGTAATTGGAATCTGTTCTGTTTTGTTGTATCCAGTTTCTATCTGTGAAAGAAAATGAGAAACACACAATGTCATTTACTAAAGTAGGTCACCTGAAGCCCGTGTTAACATAAAAAGAATGGTTAAAGAGATTAAGGTAATAGTCCCTCAAACTATAAAATTTATACTTTATGAAACTATAAAATTTTGGTATATGCATCTTCGAACAACTTTATGAAACTATAAAATTTTGGTATATGCATCAAACTTTATGAAACTATAAAATTTGGTATATGCATCTTTGAACAAAGCCATTCAGAATTAAAGGTAACAATTGCTTGCAGCTCTTCCATATCCAAGGATAACAAAATATAAGGCCACACATCTTGTCTTTTCAAAGTATTATAGCTCCACATGACAAAGTATAAGGGGCTGACTGAAAATCTTACACTCTGTCTCTGTTCAGCATGTACCTGAAACTGAAGTTACCATTGACACATTTTATTCTACTGACTAAAAGCCTGAATTTCCTATTTTACAGCTAACACAGATATAAATAATATACACTTTATAACTGTAATTTTTTAGGACAATATAGCTGTTAGTAATTGAGTGTATTAATTCTGATATAGAAATTCCCCATTTTGTGTGATTCTATTTGGGGGAACTATAGCCTACACACATGAAGGAGCAATATCCTTCTAGAGTGGATGCCTGGGATTAGCCTCACTATGTGGGAAAGAAGCTAAGGAAGAACAAATAAGATAGCCTGACTTTAGTCAAGCAGAGAACAGAAATGGCAAATAACTAAACCAACTGAAATTAAATATGATATTGTTCACATAGTTTTGAGTGATATCTAGGCAAATCTTTGTGGAACCATTTTGTCATGCTAGTATTGTCTAACAAATCATGCTTCTGGACACAGGACATGCTGACTTAAAATATGTGTGCTGAATATACAGCATAAACATCTTAAATAGTAAAAAAGAAAAAATATTTCAAAGAAGTATTAATTTGTTAACAATTTTACTGAAATAACAATTCTATATGTACTTAACCAATGTAAAAATATATGGGGGATTTACGGAGTATATATGCAGAGAAATTTAAGATTACATGACTTACCTCACAAGAAGGTAAAATGGCATTGTTAGTTTTGGGAGTGGATGAGGTCTTTGGAATTAGTATTTCAGGAGGAGAAGAAAAAAGACTAAATGCTGAGGCTTGAGGTATATATTCTCCTGAAGCTTCTACAAGTGATGTACATGACAGATTTTCTGGTTGACTGTTGTCGGATTTTTGTCTTATGAATGCTATCTCCCAAGCAGATTCTGACCTAATATTAAAGAGAAATCACTTATGGATATACTATGAATATACTACAACAGAATTCCAAGATAATGTTTTAAATGTTATTAAAAATATTTCTTATAAAGTACTTAATACATCTTAAATTACTACTTTCAAGGAGACATCCCAAATGACTCATTCTATCTCATGGATAGAATAGTTACCTCAACTTGGCTCTGGTAATTATGCTTTTTGCTTCTTCAAATGATACACCAATCATAGATTCCTTGTTGACTGAGACAAGTTGATCTCCTGGCTTCAAACGACCATCCTAACAAAAACAGTAACATTTATAAAGGAACTAATGAGGTATTTAAAAAAATAATTGATGCAATTAAAGCAATGAAAAGTTTTTGTGAAGAATGCTTTCAAAAAGAATAAAAACAAAAATCTTAGACAACCTCAGAGGCAAAATGTTTTTATTAAAGTCTGGCTCGGTAATATACACGAGTAAAATGGCATGGTTTATGTATTCCATGAATAAATTTACATGTTAAAGAATTCTGAATATGGTAGGACATAGGCTAGCATACCAGAAGGGACCTGTTTTAAAAACTGAGCACTATGGGCTGATAAAGCTCTGACTCTGTCATAAAGTGGGCCAAATAACTGTGGGATATTTCAGAATGTAAAACTCATTTACTTTAGTTTCTCTGCATTCCTACATATTTCCTCCTACCAAACTGTTCAATGTGGTCTCATCCCCCATTGAGATTTTTAAAACTTTAGTCAAGGATCTTTAAAAAATTTTTTTTGTTTAATTTTCAAAATTTTGTGTAGAGATAAGGTCTCATTATGTTGCCCAGGCTGGTCTCAAACTCCCAGGCTCAAGCGATCCCCCACCTCAGCATCCCAAAGTGCGGGAATTACAGGCGTGAGCGACTGTGCCCAGCCAAGGATTTTAATTATATTGATCCTACTCATATTTCAGCTCATGATCATCTTTTTTGCTAGACCTGCTATTCCCCATAACAAAGACCTATTTGGCTGTGCATATATTGTTATCCATGCCCTGCTACTAATGACAATTCTAACTGGCTGCCTAGTATTGCCTTTGCTAAGGCCCAGCTTGCTCATAACTAGCCTAACTGAATAAGACAGAGCATATCAAGGGCAACAGTTAATGTAGTTGTTAGGTAAGTTTCCCAATTTTTGTCTTTTCTTTTAATTCAAACTAGAAAATAAAAATATGCTTTCTTTTACAGTTCCTAAGGTATTTCCCTATTTATCATTAGTACAATGGTAGAAGGCATTATTTCTATAACTGTAGGAAAAGCTTATATGGTTGAAAACGGATATTTTCACCTTGATGGTACTTAAGTAATTTTCACAAATTCAAGAAAACATCTTTCCTTGAAGTCTTATCTTCTAAAATATATCCCTTGGATATTGATGTTTGACCTAAACTGTGTTATTTATAATAATGGTGATTCACAGTTATTTTACTCTTAAATTACAATAGGTATTGTTATTTTTTAAAAAGACATTCTTTTACTGACTAAAGAATACATAGGAAAATGACAAAATTAACATAAAACATTCATCAAAGGATTTTATAGAAATATATCTCAACTACTGTGTAAAAGATAATATAATCCAGATGCATAACGACCCTATTCTACTGAAATGTAAACATTATTTAAAATATTTAAGCCAAAAGAGTCAACTTAATTTTAAAAAACACATAAGCCAGACATGGTGGCTCACATCTGTACACTCAACACGTCGGGGGGCTGAGGCAGGAAGACTGCTTGAGCCCAGAAGCTTAAGACCAGCCTGGGCAACATAGTTACACCCCATTTAAAAAAAAATAGCTAGTCATGGTAGCACACGTCTATAGTCTCAGTTACTCAGGAGGCTAAAGTGGGAAGATCACTTGAGCCCAGGAAGTCAAGGTCATGATTGCGTCACTGCTCTCCAGCCTGGACAACCAAGCAAAACTCTGTCTCAAAAAAAAAAAAACCAACAAGAACAAAACACACACACACATATAATGTATGTATTTATGTTTTATATATAAAAATATATATAATTTAAAAACAGATTTGGATTTTATGTAAATATGTGATTGAATATAATTGGTAAAGACAAGACAACATAACATGCAGTGTTAGAACAGAGTAAAAGCTCACATGAAGGCAATTTAACCCATCTTGTATCAAAGTACACTAATGTATTGAAGTAGCATTTTCTGGTAAGAAGAGTCAGAGAAGAAAGAATGCCTTCTGACTGTGACTTCTGGTGTTTATATATTTTTTCTTTCTAAAAAGTATTCATAGCAGTTAGTTTTTTTCTTTGCCTCCTAGAATAAGATCTTAGCTGATCATGTGAATTTCTGAACCTGTTTAAAAGTCAGAACCTGCAAATGAAAACAAAGCTATTTTTGTAAGTCTGGCATTCTAAACGAGTGCATTCTGCCCCAGCTGGATTAATGTATATGTGAAAATACTAACTTCAGAGATATGTTGAGATCTCTTCCACGCAGTCTAGATTCCAATGCAGCAGTTACAGAGCAACTATATGACATGGGAGGCAATGTGTCAGGCACTTTCATATGTTGCACTTTAGACGTGAATTCTTTCACACTGACATTCATGCAGAGGTTGAAATAATAATATATTCCTGACCACTTAAACACTTCTGTTAAAGACAACCAGTACTACTCATTTCTAATTATGACCTTGGTAGATAGTTTTCTAAATAATACATTTCAATATTACCAGAAACCATCTATACAGCCTGATTCTGATTTAACTAACTCATTATACCTAATACTAAGGAATAGTCTTTCTGCAAGCCTTAAGGATCTTTTACTATACTTTTACAAGATGCAGACTGACGCTACCCTTATTGTGAACTTAGGCAAGTTGTTTAGCTTTTATGAGACTCCATTTTCTTAGCTGTAGAGTGGAGATAAATACATGCAACACAAGATTGCTATAAGAATTAAGTAATATATGCAAATTATAGTACATTATAGGTGCTAAAAAAGAGGAAGTGAATGAGACTTTCATATCTGTTGTGAACAATTGTCATACTAATAGCAAATTTAATTATATTACTCATTAAACCGAGAACCATCGATGGTTGCCAACTGGCAGAAAAAAGTTGAAACTCCTCAACATCTCAAACCAGCACAACGAATTTATTGCAACTTACTTTTTCTAGCTTCACCATCCACCTGCCACATCAGCATATAAATTCTTCATTCTACTCTCAGAGAATGTGCCTCAAACCAGCCATGGCCTTTCGAACCTCAGTGTTTTCACACATACCAATTCTTATCTAGGATGTTACCATCTACCCTCACACTTCTCTGTGATAAACTCTGACTTAAACTTCACAGCCCAATTCAAATACTATCCCTGCTGCAAGTTTTCTCCAGTTCCCCCAAATTTACTAAAATGCTCTGTCTCTTTGATCAAAAAGCACTTTTACTTACCTAAATGATTACACTTACTCTGTACAGTCCTTATGTTTATATATCTGCTTTACCCTGCCCTTGCATTAAGATATAATAAATCAGCAACTCCCAAACTAGGGGCAATGATTTTCTTAATGGACCAGAATCACTGATTCTTTCTTTCAGTTACCCAGAACTAGAACTCTGTCCTTTTCATGTTTGGTTCCCTGACACAGTGCTAGGTACATAGTAAGTCCACAATAGCTTAAAGGGAGCCAAGAAACAGTCTGAGGAAATTAGGGTAGCTGTGACAGAAATAATAACAGCAAAGGAATTAAGAGAGTGACACTGCAAAGTGAACCATCTTGGCTGCTACTTCTTCAGCTCCTACAAGTGGAACTGGTTTCTTCATAGTCTGCCATCCAGAGGCCTGATCCTGCTATTTATCTAAAAGCCTTAGCCCAGGTTCCAGTGCTATGCTCAGCATAAAAATAGATCTCCTCTGAAAGTTAAATATGTCCTACTTCAATCATTTGTGAACAATTACTAACCATTAGCATCTATATCCATGTGATCTTTTTCTCACCTATAGGGCTTGACAAAAGAAGTCCTGAATTTATCAAATTTAAGATGCCACTAATTGTAAGAAATCATTATTTTATGTAGCATTGAGAGGAAAAAAAGCCACCAATTACATGACAACATTGTGAGACCTCTAATTTCAGAGAGAGAAGAGGAAATATTACATACACACACTCAGGAGTATATTACATACCTATATACACACGATTTATATATATAGTGTGCATGCATAGCTTATATGGATATGTTTTAGTGTATGTCTTAGGACCAACTAAAAAAATATAAAATATACAGTCAGATTTTAAGTGAGGCTTTTGATTTGTCCGCTTTCCCTATGTTACCAACAACGAAAGAAAGAAAGAAAAATAAACATTTGAGAATTTTAAAGTGTTGTCGAAAATCTGACATACTTTAAAATACTTTAAAGGTCCAGGAAGGAAGTACCTTGGTGTGGAGCCCGAATGGCACCAGTGGAAGGGTAAATAGGCAGATCAGTAATCTTCAGAAATGTGACAGAATGACTATGGGACCATTCATTCATAAATATAAATTGAGCAAGTATGTATGTGTCAGGCACCACATTGGGGACTAACAATAATACTGTGAATAAAATTGGATAGCATCCTTGCCCTTAAGAAATATACTGTCTTGTGGTTCAGGAAGAGTTGATTAAACAATCATAAATATATCATTACAACTGAAATAGGTGATACAAAGGAAAGGAATGGAATTTAGGGGCACATATAGAAAAAATGAAACTTAGCTTAGACTGGGGGAAAAGCAGGGAACACAATCCTTAGGCAGTAGTCTTTGAATTGATATCTGGAAATAATGGGGGAAAGAAAATGGGGTGCTGTTTCCAAACTAAGGGAACAGCATATGAGACGAAAAAAAATGACTCCTTCTAGGAACTGCGAAGTGATGCTCTGGAAGCATAGGGATGGAGAGTCAGAGAAGGAGAGGGCAGAAGCCACACTCCATAGAACCTTGTAGGCAACCAAGTATTAGTAATATAGGTTGGGAGGGAAATAGGCATGGTGCATAAGAACAAATGATGCTACTGAGAGGGCTGATAGAAACTGATGACAGTTTAAGCTCCAGCGATGAGAATGAAGATAAAAAAACTGGTGGGTTCAAGAGATATTTAGAGAGTAAAAAAGTCAACAATATATGCTAATAATTTGAATAGTGTTATGGGAATGGAAATAGGAAGCTGTTAAATTTTCTGACTTTATGTAGCTGGAAGCTGTCATTCACCAAGACTAGGTGAACTGGAAGAGACTCTGTTGGGGAAGAGATAAGCAGAATACAGTGTGACTGTGAATGTTATGAGTTCTGCTTCAGAAATGCTGAGTTTGAGATGCCTTCAAGAGATCCAAGCAAAAATGCTGATCAGGGAACTGAAGGTTGGTATGAAGCTTAAAGGACTGTCCAGGTCAGAAAAAGGGTCAAACATTGACCCCAGATGGATATGGGACTAGCTGACAGGATAAAAGGGCCTTGGAGTTCTCTTATTTCCTTAACTTAGCAACTAATATAGTTGTTTTCAATTTATAGGATGCCTCTAGCTCTTAGAGCTGAGGGAATCTTGGTTCTACTTGAACTGGAAAGATGTATTCATAACATCCCACATTTGAGCTATGGATATGTTTTTCAAAGAAACATAGTATTTTGCATGGTCCAGTATTGTATTCTCATATTTTCCAGGAGGAAAACATTTAGGGTGTGTGGTGGCAAACCATGAATAATTAAAGAAAATTCCTTCTGAGTGCCAATAACTCCCTTACAGTTAGAGGTATTTGAAAATATAAATGAAATATAATCTAGCTATAAGCTTGATATTGCCTATATTATTAATTCTGAAACATTATAATGTTAAAACAAAATCACAGAAAAGTTAAAGCATTCACATGCATTTAAAAATATTAACAGTTACTCAGTTCAGCAACTTCATTAGGATAACCTTATGAGTTTGTATTTCCTATTCTACAAATTCTATCATGTAGAAACTTTGTGCAGACCAGAAATTTATTAACATGTTAAAACAGTATTTAGAATACAGTAAATGTGTTATTAATACAGTGTTTTAAAATAAAGTTATATCGATTTTGTATTTGAAGAATATATATGCATATGCATAGAGTGCTCCATCTTGAGAAAATATTTTAAAGTAATGTAAGCACTAGAAAATTACTACTTCTTCTCCTACACATTTTTTTATTTTTTAGAGACACTCTGTTGGCCAGGCTGGAATGTAGTGATGTAATCATAGCTCACTGAAACCTGCAACTCCTGGGCTCAAGGGATCCTCTTGCCCTGGCCTCCAAAAGTACCGGGATTACAGGAATGAGCCATCATCCCTGGTACTCCTCTCTTAAACTTTTTTCTATCTTGCCGGTTTCCTTCTGTCAACCAAGACCAGGTACAGAGAACATTAATAGCTCTGTGCTGCCCTCTAGTGGTAAGTAGAGGTTATAGTCAATTAGAAGATTTTGCCTTTTAATACTTCTTTCAATGACATTCTAATAACAAAAAGTAGATAAGAAAAATTTCTTAATCTGCTATCACTGACAGAAGATAAAGAGTAATTTAGCACCACAGCTATCAATTTATTACTCTAACTCCAAATATTTTTCATGGTAATAAAGAAGTACAAACTGATGCTTGTTTTAAAAGCAAATTCTTAGGCTGGGCTCAGTGGCTCAATCCTGTAATCCCAGCACTTTGGGAGGCTGAGGTGGGCAGATCACCTGAGGTCGGGAGTTTGAGACCAGCCTGGCCAACATGGTGAAACCCCGTCTCTATTAAAAATACAAAAATTAGCTAGGAGTTTTGGCACCTGCCTGTAATCCCTGCTACTCAGGAAGCTGAGGTAGGAGAATCGCTTGAACCTCCTGGGAGGAGGAGGTTGCAGTGAGCAGAGATGGTGCCCTGCACTCCAGCCTGGATGATAGAGCAAAAGCCTATCTCAAAATTTATATATACATACATATATATGTATGTATATATAATTTATAATATATTATTTAGTAATTTCAATATAATGGTATAATTTTTGGCAATTAAATTTAAATTATTACTCAAGAACATTTTTAAAAGCTAAATTTAAACAAATTCAAACCAACAGAAAAATGAATTTTTTTCTTCTAAGAATTGAGGCATTACCTTAGTGTTAAAGCTGGGTGTGTGTGTGTGTGTGAGTGTTCAATATAGTTATGGTATTTCTTAAACTACACTTAATATAATGCAATAATAGATCAAGGTACCTAACAAGTGATAAGAATTTGCTTTTTTTTTTTTGAGACAGAGTCTCACTCTGTTGCCCAGGTTAGAGTGCAGTGGTATGATCACGCCTCACTGCAACGTTGATCTTTGGGGCCCAAGCAATATTCAGTCTCCACGTAGCTGGATTACAGGCAAGTAGCTGGACTACAAACATGTACCACCACACCCGGCTGATTTTTAAAAAATTTTTAGGCTGGGCGCGGTGGCTCAAGCCTGTAATCCCAGCACTTTGGGAGGCCGAGGTGGGTGGATCATGACATCAAGAGATCGAGACCATCCTGGTCAACATGGTGAAACCCCGTCTCTACTAAAAATATATATAAAAAATTAGCTGGGCATGGTGGCGCGTGCCTGTAATCTCAGATACTCAGGAAGCTGAGGCAGGAGAACTGCCTGAACCCAGGAGGCGGAGGTTGCAGTGAGCCGAGATCGCGCCATTGCACTCCAGACCGGGTAATAAGAGCAAACTCAGTCTCAAAAAAAAAAAAAAAAATTTTTTTTAATAGAGTTCAAGTCTCACTGTGTTGCCCAGGCTGTTCTCAAATTCCTCAGCTCAAGCAATCTTCCTGTCTCTGCCTCCCCAAAGCTGAGATTACAGGCATGAGCCACCATGCCTGGCCTATATAATACTTAGAACTTAGAAAGTATATTTAGAAGATGCCTTATTATCTGAACAAGCCTGAAACAATTAAAATTACTACAACTATTTTGGAAGTTATTTTTCAAATGGAATTTTCTCCTAATAAGACAAAAAAATCCAGTTGAAAAGATAACTACTTAGCAAGTATTTGCAGTGGTAGGAGAGAAATACAGGTGGTGGGTAAAAGTAGTAGGACTAATTATTTAACCAAATAAGAACAAAATAGTAAGAGGATCCTTTCTCATGCTATATAGCTTGATATTTATAGATATTTTATTAATTTTATTAATTCTTAATATAATTTAATTAAATTCTTTATATCTGATATCTCCCCAAATCAAATGGAAGCAATTTTCAGAAAAATGACACATAATCACTTTAGCAAAACCGAAAAAGCAAGTGAGACCCATGAAGAATGAGAATTCAAATATAGTAACCAGTTTGTTAAACTGCTGGGGTTGTGCTTCAAATTTGGGTCTGAGCTTCCTACCAAACAAAGTAAAAGGGAGCTCATTATATAACATATTTCTTACTTTGAAGAGGAGAGTAAGACTTTCTAATTCCTAAAAATAGATATTTTCTGGTTTTAAGTCTAAATCTAATTTCACATGGGGATTCTAATTTAAGTCTAAATCTAATTTCTCATGTAGTTTCATCTAATTTCTCAAAGTAGTAGAAAGACAACATTTCATCAAATATAATTTCTCTCAACCAGATACAGGATAAAAGTGAACAGCAAATAATTTAAAAATAATAACCTTATCTTATAGTCAGAAATATCTATTATTTTCATATAAGAAGATCCTAATTATCTCTTATTTTAAAGCTCCTTGAGGGCCATAGTCTTATCTTCTAGTTCCTTTGTATTTTTCACTGAGGTTTGATCACAGTGGATATAAAATTCACTAATAAAGTAGAAAAAATGAACTTCACCACTGGTGGGTCGTTTTGGTTTGTATTTTTGGTGGGCAGGGGGTGTATTTTACCTTGTAGCAGTCTCCTCCAGGAATAATTTCCTGAATATATACCAATGGGCCTTCATTCCGGTTAATTCCTCCTAGTATCTTCAGGCCAAGGCCTGTTTCCTTGGGAATTGTAATCATCTGAAAGGCAGGGTCCCTAAAATAAAGTAAATTAGCACACACAGGTTAGTGTAGAGATCTGCACCTATTTTTTTCTTTAAACTACTTATTAAATCAAATTCTTAGATCTAGACCAGTGGCCCCTAACCTTTTTGGCACCAGGGACTTGTTTTGTGGAAGACAATTCTTCCACGGCGGGTGGGGTAGGTGTAGTGGCGCAGACGGGGGATGGTTTCGGGATGATTCAAGTGCACTACATTTATGGTGCACTTTATTATTACATTGTAATATATAATAATTATACAACTCTCAACAATGTAGAATCAGGGGGAGCCCTGAGCTTGTTCTCCTGCAACTAGATAGTCCCATGTGGGGGTGAGAGGAGACAGTGACAGATCATGAGCCATTAGATTCTGATAAGAAGCAGCAACCTAGATCCCTCACATGCACAGTTCACAATGGGTTCATGCTCCTATGAGAATCTAATGCCACCATTGATCTGACAGGAGAATGATCTCAGGCTGTAATTCTCACTTGCCCTAGGCTCACCTCCTGCTATGTGGCCTGGTTCCTAACAGATTAAGGACCACTACCAGTCTGAGGCCCAGGGGTTAAGGACCCCTGACCTACACAATCCAGAATACTTAGTACTTACTAGCAATGACATTTTTTAAAGTGTGGTGACATAACAACAATTAAATGAATTTTCTTGCCTGTACTAACAATCTTCTCTACAAAACAACCAAAACACAAAAGAATTTACAATGATAATCTTATTTCTTTGGAGTAGAGCAAAAATTTATTACACATACTGAAAAGATTTGTTTTTACCTGATTATTAGACTACTTGAAGAATTCCAAAACTAAATATTTTAACGAATTAGGTAAGTAGCTTTAAAAGACATGTCTGCGGCCATTTAAAGCAAAATAAATATGACTTCCATTTGAGTCTCAAATAAAATTTATCTTTTTAATTTACAAAGAGTATTTTCTTGGTACAAAGTACTTGTTTCAACTGTAATTTCTGCCAGACAAAAACAATGCCATTTGAAAAGAAGGGATTGTCAAAAAAACTCTGCAAAAGTCATTGGATTCAAGTTGCACTTCTGAATACCCTGGTCAGAGGAGAGACTTTTACTGGTCAAACAAAACTTGAATTAAATTTGAAATAAGACTTAGGAGCTGCATGTTTACTTATTATGTACTGGGTACTGTCCTAAACAGTGCCTAAATAATGACATTTAATTTAATATTTATAAAATCCTTAATATTCTTAACCTTATTATTCTAAAAGATCCAAAATTCAGGTAGGTTAACTTGGTGGCCCAAGTGTGAGGCCAGTCAGTTTTACTTCAGAGGCAAAATGTGGTATGTACTCTATTTTGTTGTTGTATTAGTCATTGTTGAACATAGGACTTTCAGCTATCTTCAAACACACTGAATAACTGAAACTACTATTAAAAAAAGAGTTACTTCATATCTTACATGATTATAGCTTTTAGGCCTTTTAAAGCTTTTAAAGCCTTCTTAGCTTCTGCCATAGAAATTCTAAGAATATCATTAAGAATACTACTGCATTCAAAAAAGTAATTTTTAAAAATAAAGAAATTTTTAAAAACATATAAAACTCCCTGTTTTTGAATATTTTGCTCTTCATATATAACATCATTTAGAGCTGCATTACAGGTATACTGAATTCAACTTTAATTTGGGAAGGCCTATCTGGTTTCTCGGGCAATAGTCAATCGGCTAGAAAAAAGACAGAGAGGACAGGGTCCAAGGGTCCAAAATGCTCTACTCATGTGCATTTCTGTACCCTATATCCATTCTTTCTTCTTTTTTTTTTGTTTTTTATTTTTTGAGACAGGGTCTTGCTCTGTCCCAGCTGGAGTGCAGTGGCATGATCTCAGCTTACTGTAACCTCCGCCTCCCAAGTTAAGTGATCTCCTACCTCAGCCTCCTGAGTAGCTGGGATTACAGGTGTATGCCACCATGCCCAGCTAATTTTTGGTATTTTTGGTAGACACAGGATTTTACCATGTTGGCAAGACTGGTCTTGAACTCCTGACCTCAAGTGATCCACCCGCCTTGGCCTCCCAAAGTGCTGGGATTATAGGCATGAGCAACCATGTCTGGCCAATAAACCCATTCTTTACGGGATAGCAAATTGCAAAAACAAATGAGTAAAGCCTAGAAATCGAAGAGAAGGTAAGAAAGGAAGTAAGATACCTCATTAGATCTCTCCACTAACTCTCACATCCTCCAAATGTGAATGTCCTTCACTGGGAGCACAAACAATCTCCAGCATATGTTATTGCTTCAGTATAGAATCTCACTTTTCTAATCCCAACAAAGTGTTATTAACATAGCAGTTTATTGCTTCTAATATTTTTCCCTATATAAATCCATCCATATATTTTCTGAATTGCTATCATACTACTTAAACCGTTTTAGAACCTGTTTCATTATTGTAAGCAATGTCTATGTTGTTAAAAGTTCTTAAACATAAGTTTATATGTTCATGGCAGCATAAAATTTACATATACAGCCAGGACCTTATTTTAAGACTCTCATATGGTTAAAAATTCAGATTACCTACTCTTTTTTCCTATTAAATATTAAAAATAGTTCTCCTCAACTTTATTCATAATAAGAGAATTACAAGTTAAAACTATATAGAGGTACTACTACTCACCTACCAGATCAATAAAAATTTAAAACGTCAACAACATACCCTGATGACAAAGCTGTGGGAAAAGAGGCATTTTTTGCACACTGCTAGTGGGAATGCAAAATGGTACAACTTCTAAAGAGATAAATTGGTAACCTCTAACAAAAAAATGACCCTCTGATCCAGCGATTCCATTTCTAGAAATCTATCCCAAAGATACTCTGGCAAAAAATAGAAAATGACTTATATACTAGGTTATTCATTTTGACATAATTTGTATTCACCAAAAATTGCAAACAATACATTTACCCATCCATAAGGTACTGGCTGAATAAACTATGGTATATCCACACCATAGAATATTATGCAGTTATACCAATAAACAAGAAAGATCTTTACAAACTGATATGAAAGGATCACCAGGATATATGTTAAAACAAAAAGGCAAGGTGAAAACAGTATAAATGATACCTTTTAAGAATATCCTGGGTAGTAGAATCCAAATATATATAATTATTATGTGTACATATATTATATGTGTGTATATTTATTTATAGATATATGCATTTGCTTAAGCAAAAAGAAGTACTACAAAAGAACCAAGAATAAAAACAACTTTTTATAGAGGGAATGAGGGCACAGAGTGAAGACTAGAATAAGAGCAAGATTTTTTTGAACATACCTTGTTAAACCTATGTTTTATGTTTGCAAAATTCCTCCCATTCCTGTCTACGTGCATCTTGGTAATATGACTTTACGGCCTCCTTTCATTAAAAGCAAAGTCTATATCTCCACTCCTTGAATTTTTATTTGTCTATTTAAATTGCTTTGGCCAATGGGATACCAGCAAATGTGAGAAAAATAGATGTTTAGAAAACACCTGTGTTTCTGCGACCATGTCAAAGCTTGAGCCAGCCCCCTGCAGAATGAGAGACCAGTTCCAAAGAGACCTCAGCCATCCAGCCTTCCTAGCTGAGGCCTCACAAGATGTAAATTAAGCCATCCTGCATTATCTGGCATAGAGCAGAACTGCTCAGCCAACCCACTGAATCATGAGAAAGAATAAATTCTTATTGTTTTAAGGGACTTTAGGGTGGTTTGTTGGTCAGCGAGAGCTAATCTTATATTATAAATTTTTTTCTGGAATTATAAAGTATTCTAGATATTAAAAAACCAAAATTTAAAAAAGAAATCTCACAAAAGAGTTTTTAAAAATGTATTTGGTAATTGTTTATTTATTTTTTATTATTTTTAGAGACAGAATCTTACTATGTTGCCCAAGCTAGAGTGCAGGGCTATTAACAGGTGCGATCATAGCATACTACAACCTCAAACTCCCAACCTCAGGCCATCCTCCTGTCCCAGTTTCCTGAGCAGCTGGGATTATAGGCATGCCCTACCGTACCCTGTGCAGATGACTTTAAAGAGAATGCAGATTTTGTCCCATACATTGATTTACACTGAAAAGTAATTCAATGTATTACTTTACTCACTACTCATTATTGCTATTCTAGACCACATTAGACAGCTAGATGTAAAAAAAAACCTTTTAATCAAATGTTCATTAACAGTCTACATATTTCCAACTATATTTCAAAACATATTAAATTTAAAAATTACTTTTCAAGTAGACTGGATGATATGACAGTAGATGTATTTTTATTCATGCTTTCACCAAAGTAGCCTTGGATTTAACAGCTGTATAAATGAAGATCTTGATGAAGAGTCTAGAAATTCTTCTTTTCCTAGGATTAGAGAAGTAGAAAATAAATTGTCAGGTCCTAGAACTGTCAAGTTTGATTCCAACTGTTCATAAAAACATTATATATACTTAGCACATAAATAATATAAACCTATGTATAGATGATAGATGTATGTATTTTGAGTTATGGCACTTTAGTCATTGATGATTATATCTAAGAAATGTAAAGACAGCTCATTAGATACTTAGGTCTATGTCTATATCATTATGAATATCCCTGTCTACATAAAATCTTCATTCTCTGGCAAAAGTGAAGAATATAGCTAAGCTTTATGTAACTATTATAACTTCGACCCTTGGTAAACTTAAAAATCACATAATAATTAAAGATTGAGGAAAATGTCTCCTGTGAGCACAAGGCTATGAAGCTTATAGTCAGAAAAATAATTATCCAGTGCATTTGAAAAAAACTGAATTCTTATTACCTTACTAACGATCTTGAGGTATTTCCTGCAGATCCTATATTACTCTAATTTATTCCAGGAATTTCTTAAATGCTTTCCTGTGAAGAGAAAAAAATATGCTTTTAATGTCTTATATAGTTCCATTGTGAAAATTACAGAGAATAGTGCAGTTTCATTTAATTAAAACAAAGTATATTTGAACAGAGATTTACCATTTTTTCATAATAAAAATGAATGAAGCAAAGGAACTTAAAGTTGAAAATGATACTAGGATCATTTAGTACAACTCTCTCTCTGAAGAAATGAGGAGCTACATTCAGACGTTTTGTGCTTTTCCCTCACAAATAAGAAATAGTGTTTTTTTTTTTTCTTCTCCTAACCAGAACTCAGGCTTTGTAGCCTACAGGATGGACCTTGAGATCTGATAGGCCTGGGTTCCCACTTGAACTTTTGGGCTTCTCCAAGCCTTGGCTTCTACAGGTACAGTAGGTGCCTTGATTGTGGTGACAATTTCACAAATGGATACACATGTTAAATGTAACACATTGTCTCACTTTAAATATCTGCTGTTTGTTTTAAATCGGTTATAGTTTAATAACATTAAACTTTTAAAAAACCTTATTTTCAGTTAAAAATGGCATCTTGATCTTAGCACATATCTTCTTTCCCTCCCAAGAGCCAACTATATGAGACCATTAAAGAGTTACAAACAATATAAACTCAGAATGTTGAAGAGCATATGGGAAAAGAGCCATCAGATGAAGATTTTGAACAAGTTTCTGGAAGATAAAAAACAGATGGTTGGGTGATAATTGGTAAAAGAGAGCTAAAGAAGCTGAAATTCTTTGGGAGGCCGAGGCGGGTGGATCACGAGGTTAAGAGATCGAGACCATCCTGGTCAACATGGTGAAACCCCGTCTCTACTAAAAATACAAAAAATTAGCTGGGCACGGTGGCGCGTGCCTGTAATCCCAGCTACTCAGGAGGCTGAGGCAGGAGAATTGCCTGAACCCAGGAGGCGGAGGTTGCAGTGAGCCAAGATCGCGCCATTGCACTCCAGCCTGGGTAACAAGAGCGAAACTCCGTCTCAAAAAAAAAAAAAAGAAGCTGAAATTTAGGGTAGTACTTCTTAAACATTTTTAAGTTTGAGCACACACATAATAGTAATATTTGTATGGCATACTAAGCTAAAGAAAGGTGACATCCTCTGAGAAGCTGAGGAGAATCAATGTATCAGCACACCAGCAACTGATTCACAACAAAATTCTGGCTTAGGAAACAGGTGCAGGAGGAATGTATCTTAAAGAATCCGAGAGAAACTAGGACTCAGAATCAAAAAGTTCTAGAGAGAACAAAACTGAGAGATTGAGGACTAAAATCAAGAGGATCATCCTATCTTTTCTCCAACCATTGTATAGAGAAGAAATCATGGATTCTTCTTCAAATGAACTGAATGGACCCCAAACAGAGAGCCAACCACCTTTGAGTGCCTGACACAGAGACATATTCTGGTCTTGGTGGTAAAAACATATTTCAACTTTCACAGCCTCTGTAGTAGCAACAGGAACAGTGGAAGCAGGCAGATCAACAGCAGCCAGAGAAATGAAGCCACCAAGCAACAATGTCAGTAGCAAAAGTCCAGTGACCATGAAGCAAGAAAGTTACTCAGTACCGCATGAGGAAAAGAAGGGCCACTTGAGGGAGGAGCTTAAAATCCTTGGGTTTTGAACAGTAGTCCCTCAGAGTCAAGAGCCACCACAGCTGTCCACAAGACTGATATAGTCATGGACAAGAGTTCAATTCTAAAACTAAGTTTGCATAAGTTCATTATACATTGCTTTAATAATACATGCATGGAGCAGATTCTCAAACCTCAAGAGAGGTCATTCTCATATAACAATAATAGTAGTAACTACCATTAATTGGCACTACGTTTCACATACTATGTATTTCAAATATATTTATTTAATATTGTGGAAAACGTACTAGACATAAGAAAAAAAAGAAATGCAGAATTCAAATGGTAATACTGCCATGTGCTAGTAATATGGCATTAGAAAAATTGCCTAAGCTCTTAGCATCTCCTCGTATTAAGGTAGAAATAGTAACACCTTGCTCAAAGGCAGATGTGAATAATTGAGCATCTTTCTACTGGTACCAAAGTGAGTAAGATCCTCATCTTTGGCAAGTTGTTCTAACTGGAAACAGGGTCCCTAGGCCCCCTGGGAACATACCCAAGTCTAATGAGGTATAAATGCTACTTTACAATAGATTCCATATAATCTATTTAACAAGACATTTAAAAACATTTCTATTTTGAGGTATAAAATAAAATTTAGGTGTTTATTCCATTCATTTATCGTGCTGGCAGTATCCTAAGTGCTAGAGATGAGATCAGGAGGGGGTGAAGTGCTCTGACGCTGGTATGCACAGGGAGTACGGAGAAAGGCTGCCTAACCTGGGATCTAGGTCATCATTAAACACCAATACAGCCAGGCACCGTGTTACAGAATTTTCTTCCCATAGGAGCCCCACAAGGGAGGTATTATTAAACCAATTTTATACAAAAGAAAAATAAGTCATAGAGAAAGTATGTGACTTGTCCATTGTCACAGGCTAGTTGTAAAGTAGAATTTGAATCCTGCTCTTTCTTGCTCCAAACCCAAGTTGTTTCTACTACAGTATGCTGAAAAATTAATTTAGGTAAAAAGCTTGATTAACCAAAAAAGTAGAATGAGAGAGCAGGAGTAGTAATGTATTATCTCTTTTGTATAAAGATGACACTATTGATTAAATAGAAGTGGGTTTAGGCCAGGAGCAGTGGCTCACGCCTGTAATCGCAGCACTTTGGGAGTCCGAGGCGGGTGGATCATGAGGTTGAGAGATTGAGACCATCCTGGCCAACATGGTGAAACCCTGTCTCCACTAAAAATACTGGGCGTGGTGGCGCACGCCTGTAGTCCCAGCTACTCAGGAGGGTGAGGCAGGAGAATTGCTTGACCCCGGGAGGCGGAGGTTGCAGTAAGCCGAGGTGGCGCCACTGCACTCCAGCCTGGCGCCTCGTTCAGAAAAAAAAAAAAAAGAAGTGGGTTTAATCTCAAGCAAGCTTGTTTTTTATATTAACAAGGTATTCATTGTCATGTCCTTAAATATCATAAAATGCCTGTCATTTCTCTCTCCTTTGCCTGTTTCCTACTCTCTCTTTATACAAGCTGGCAAGGCTCTCAACCAACAAGGATTCTAGTAATGTTACATACACACAAATACTCCACACACTCCCTTACACACACACACACACCACCCCCAAGTTCCTATAATTAATGAATAACACAAAAAGAAAACATTCTGTTCTTTTACTAAAAATATTCACATTCAAGACAAATACATTGTTTTTCTAGTTTGGTGAATCATAAGAGAGAAACAGATCAGCAAAAACAGAAAAAGTGGAACACTGGAGGAAAAAAAAATCTTGTTGTGTAAGATGAATCTATTCCAGAAAACTTAGAGTTTTTCTTTGATAGTCTGTTTACTTATTATCTCATTAAAACAATTTTCATCCCATATAATTAGAAATTTCATCAGATTAAAAAAAAAACTGCCCATAATGCATATGGTGTTTGAGTTAGACTTAGTAATTTATATTATCAGACATGACATTCAATAAAACCAGTTCTTTTCATTGGACAAAAAAATAGAGAAAATTAGGGGGATGAAAATATCTTCTGCCAGAATTATAGTAAATATTAATTTAATAAAATTATAAAAATGCCATAATGAAATTGATAGAAATGGCCAAATTTCCCTCAGTCAGGGTTGTACTAATTTATTATTCCACCAATAATAGTGCCTGCTACTCTAAATTTTCTCTAGTATGGCATACTAAATAACTTTTGGATTTTTGCCAGTCTTCATGAAAATGATATCTCAAGGTAGTTGGAGTAAGGCTGAAGAGTTTTTTATGCTTTAAGAACCATTCGGTATCTCCTTTTATGTGAACTGTGTTTTTTATATCTTTTGACAATTCTTCTATTCATCATTAGGCTTTTTTCTGTTCAATTTCTAGTTCTTAAATCTTACAGAAATTATCTCTTAATTAGCGCTAAAAATTGCAAATATATTTCTCCACCACTTCTTCTGGGTGATGGGCTTTTTGTTATGCAAAAGTTTGTGGCTAACTTTATGAATCTTTTATGATTTCTAGGTTTTAGGTACAATTAGAAACTCCTTGCCCACTCCAAAGTTATGAAGATTTCTCTCATATTTTCTTCTAGTATTTTTATGATTTCATTTATAAACATTTGATCCATTTGGAGTCCATCGTAATATAAAGTACAGATCCAACTCATATTTTTCCCAAGAAGACCACCCCATTGTCTCAACCACATTTAATAAATAATCCATCTTTTCTCCATTTTGAGATATGACTTTCATCATCTACCAAATCTCACAAGTGTTTGGGTCTACTTCTGTAATTTTTATTCTGGCCCTTTGGTTAATCTGTTTATTCATACACCAATGCCATTCTATTTTAATTACAGAGGTACTATCATATCTGGTAAGACTAATCACCTCTCATTTGTTCTTCTGTTAACCAAGCTTCCCTGGTTGTTTATTTTTACATATTAAATTTAAAATATTATCTTGTTTAAAAAACAAAACAGTGCTATTTGTTAGGGAATGACACTAAATTTACAAATTAATTGAAGTATTGGTATTTATTATGTTATTTGAGTCTTCCTATCCAAGAATTTGGTATCACTATTTGTTCAAATCTTCTTTTGTGACCTTCTATAGTAGAAGTGGTCAATCTTTTGGCTTCCCTAGGCCTCACTGGAGGAAGAAGAATTGTCTTAGGCCACATATAAAATACACTAAACACTAACGACAGTTGATGAGGTTAAAAAAAAAAAAAGCAAAAAAACTCATAATGTTAAGTTTACGAATTTGTTTTGGAACACATTTAAAGCTGTCCTGGGCCACATGCAGCCCATGGGCCACAGGTGGGACAAGCTCGTTCTACAGTGTTTTAAAGTTGCCTTCACAGTGACCTTGTAGGCAGGAGAATAGGGTCTGGAGGCAAGGAACTTAAGGTTGATTC